TGCTATTTTACTATTTGGGTTGACTTCTATACAAAGTTTTCCCATTCGTACTACAGGACATGATCTCTTGCATTCTTGTCTACATCTTTTCGGTTTACATTTATCAGAATTCACAATTGCTATACGAGTTAACCGATCTGTCTCTTCCATTGACTTTTTTGGTGGCATGGTGTAGAATACTAATTTAAAAAAGAGAAGAGAACACTTTAAGTATATAATTAAAATAAATTATAAATATAATATATACCATAAAGTAGCTCTAATATATATATTATTTTGTAAAACTATAGTATACTAGTAAAAAGTGTAATATGAGATAATTGTCAAAATCATCTCTAAACTTTTTCATATATTCCAAAGCATAAATCTCGTGCAATTTAATATAAAGTAAATTAAATAGTTAAAATACACACACAATTGTAAGAATATATGATGGATGAGTATAATATATGTATATAATATATACATACTGACTCTCTATATGTATTAAGATACAAAATACATGTGAGATTCAAGATATGGGACAAATAGTTTAAATCCCTTTTACATGTACTTGTATCTTACATAATAGTACTTTACTAGAGTTATAAAATATATATATAGTATAACACACACATTGATACATACATATATATTCTCTCTCTCTTCTCGAATATATACTGGAATATTCTTAAATTACATATACATTATATCTTACTTAATAGAATTTGTTATATATATCTACATATATATTTTTTATATTTCCAAATTATAAGCTATAATTTTTTATACAAATTATATAGTGCAATTTGTAGAATAAGAAGTAAATAAAATTTATGTAACTTTATCACATAAAAAAATTTTTTTTTCTGTTTGCATAGAGAGAGAGAATCTATTATATTTTTATGATTAAAAATATGTTTTATAATTCATATACACAGATAGAAAAACAGCAACCAACAGAATTTTGAATAAAACTTGTATAATGCATTAAAGACATATGATAAATAAAAAAAAATATTAAGAATATATTAATCCTTTGGGATATTCTATTGTTAAAATATGGATAGGATCAAGATGACCCATATGTGATCTTTAAGGGTTAAAAATGTACTATAAATTATAATAAAGCACACAATAAAATTAAAATAAGATATACAACAACAAAGGACCAAATGAATGATAAATACATAAATTAAATAGAGTACTGTAAAACAATTTATGAGAATATCTGTGTTAAAATTAATGCAAGCTGTTAAGATAATACTCCATATTATTAACATTGTATACCTTATATTTTTGATAAAATAAAATAATAACATGCAAATGCATGGAAATTGTTAATTTATAATTGAATTTTAACTATTGTGTGTAAATGTAAAAGATGTTAATGCCATGCGGCTTTAACCTAACATTTTCTAAATGCTGGACCATACTTTATAAAGAAAATGTATCTTGAAAAGAAAGAGAAAATTATTAGAAATAATATAAAATTTATAATGTGTTATAATAAAAACAACATAACATAATATATCGATGCATACCTCTATCACAAACTCTCAAAATCAATAAAGAAAGCGATTCTGCTCTATTTCCTGACCTTTCTAAAGGAATATTTGCTGTTTCCGCGTTCACACGCAAGTGCACGTAATGCGAGATGGAGGAACGAGGAACGAATCTATCTAGGCGGGACTTTTGTGCGCATGCGTGAGTATGTCATCGACCATATGACCGATCCATAGACTTCTATAGGTATATTCTATATAACTATATTGTCAACAGAGAGAAGCCTGAACCACCGGGCACCGGGCTCAGGCCCAGCATTGCGAGATGAAGGAACAAATCTCTCCGGACGGAATTTTCGTGCGCATGCGTGAACTACGTCATCAAATTATTCATTTCCGTATAATGGATTAATAATTAGAAATGAATATATTCCGTTCCCTTGTTTGAAGTAAAATAATTCCAAATCCTCCTAATATTTAATATATTTATTCCTATTCCTAATATTTTCTTTATCGTGCATAGGATCTAACAATAAGACGTTTAAATGCTCGCACAGCAGCGCCTCTGCATACACTTTAGTGGAATTACATAGCCACAATCACATTTTTCAATTCTACTGGTAAAATCTCCGTTTGGTGTGTGTCCATGCTATAGCCATAAATGTGGGGATCAGAAATACGGAAATATAATAAATTTAATAATATATTTTATTAGCTGCGTGTGATGTTTTTTCATTTTAGTATATACTACGCGGACAGCGATATATAAATTATTATTAAAGTATTTTTATAATATATGCGTTCGCACGTGTGTAACAAAAATTTCCTCAATTTTTAAAATAATTTTTAATTTAATATAATAAAGAAAATATCTGTAATCTGTGCAATAAATTGTTATTAGAAGTTGATGTATGCCATATTATTGTCTTTTAATCACAATGCAGATGAAGTCGGAAGTTGACCATATTGTAGGACTGAAAATGAAAAGATGATAGATGTCGGCCGTGATATTTTAAAATTCGTATATTTTATGAAATAATTACATTTAATCATACATTGTTATATTTGCTTCGAACAACGCTACAATTTTTATTATATTGAAATATCCACATATTATGTTATAAAAAAAATTATGTATACCTCTTTTCATTTCTTAACACAAGTAGTTTTTAAAGCAATCACTATACTCACAACAAAGTTCAGTTTGAGCCATTTAATTTGATATGTATATTTGTTGGTCTTATGGTCTATTAATTTATGTAAAAAATATATAATTTTATTTAAAAAATATGTTTAAGTCGAATCGCAAAGACTAACAAAATTTCAAAAAGTTCTTATTAACCATATACATTTTCCTTGAAAAAAATAATATTTTTTTTGATGATATTTCCCTATCATTAAAGGCAATGAAGTTATTTCTTAGTTATTATGATAAAAATTCTATTTTTGTTATAACAATGTAGATAAAAGTAATTTACGAAATAATGTTAACAAAATAAGAGGCAGGCTGGAAGAACAAATAACGGATGTACGTATAATATATTTTAAATTATAATTTATATAAACAATTCATGATTAATCTTAACGAATTAAAGTTCAGGAAAATAATATTTTGACTAAAACAAGCATGTCACGAATTGCATAAAAATAATAATGCAAAATACAATAATGTCACAAACTTTTCTATCTTAGATTGGACTCTCTTTAGTGTAATAAAAGCATAGAGAAGTGTAATACAGTCGATCAAATTATCGTAAAAATTATAAAAGAAATTAATGTTTTGATTATTGGTGCTCATGGATAAGTCCAAATAAGGCATGTCAGCAAAGATCAAAATTTATCATCCACCACAAAGTTTTACCCAGAACTTGCTGGAGGACAATAAAATTGAAGTCAAATAACTGCCTGAAAATTTAATAATGATAAAATAACGAAAAATTAAAGTGCAAATTTAAAATTCAACAAAAACGTGACTGACTAATGGAGAAACTATAACAGACGCAAAATGAAAACCAAATATAAAATAATATAGTACAATAACGTTTCCCAACGAGACTTTAATATTGCGCGAGCGAAAAAGATAAATGGGCCTGAAAACAAATGAAATCAATAAAACGTACGAAACCATAACAGAAAAAAGAAATTAAAGTTATTTACATTACTATTAAGAACAAAAAGTTTCATTAAAAAATAGATTAATAGCTTCAATACAAAAATATTAAAAAGAAACTAATTTGATCTTCATATGATCTTAAAAAATGACCTTAGTTAAAATTTAAGATTATCAACTTTTTTCTCCCTCAAAAATTTATAAATTTTGTCTGAAACATTTTTTTGTACGATATCAAGTTTAGGAAATATATAACTGCTTCCATTAAAATAGGATACCTTGTTACCTGGATATCTATAATGACAGTTATATTTAAAATATGTCTACGTGTATGTCTTTGCATAATTTCTGCCCGCCACATATGTCTTTTATATAAAAAAAATAATAAAAAAAATATAAACTTAAGAAATTGAATTTTATGATAAAAACTTCATGAATTGAATATTTTAATATATAAACTCTATATGAATTAAAATCCATATTTTATAGTTCAATAACAATAGTGCAGTTTTTACTAGAATTGTTGTTACGTATGCCATTTACTTATTTTGTTGATTATTCTGTAATAAAAATAATTTTACGTTACCACACTCAGTATCTATTAGAAATGGTGTTTTAACAGTAAATGTAAAATTTGGTTTTCACAGAGAAATCTTAGATGCATTAAAAATCATGATTCGAGAAGACTGTAATGTTAATATTTACGAATAGAAGAAATGGGCTAATTAAGAACCAAGTGCGATAATTGCGAAGTGCAAACTCTCTTTCTTTAAATATGATTTATTAATTGTCCTACGTCTCGGTCTCTTATTGGGACCATCATCAGCAGCTGTCAAACAATATATAAAATAGTAAAGCGTGGACTATACAAAATTGAAAATTAGCATATAAAAATACATACTTAAATTAAATTAAATCGTGCTTACGCTCCTTTCACACTAATAGATCTACGCGTAAGCTAGATAATAGCCCAAAGAATTAGTGAGAAAAGACTCCCAATTAGCCCGCTTTAATAATGAGCGACGGCTAACATTTTTTAAAGGTTATTCAGAATCATGATCTTGAAAATATATGCCAAGTCAAAGTAATTTAAAGAGGAAACACTGATGTTTTATTAAATTTTTCTATATATACATTCACAAAATTTAATATAGATCAAGTTATTATTATATAAAATAAGGAAAGTTATTATTTAAAGACAGAGTATTATGTCTTTTTATGCTATTTTATTTTTTTCGCATTGTATGTTCATTTGTTTAACGGAAATTGAATTCACCACATTTGTTGCAACATTTTTGTAACATATTAGCATTATAATAGTCGTATATTATAATAATTTAGTAATTTTAGTTATTACGCATATGGAAATAGGAACAAAATAATATATATTTTTATATTTTCGAGGCAATATCAGAAATGAGTATCGGCGCGTTATCATCATTATGCGCAAAATAAAAGGTAAAGTCCGGGGAACAATTGCACTTTCGTACATTTTGTTAGAGAAACATTTGACGCGATACACTTCATACGCTGCAAGCTACTTGTTTGATCATCTACAAAAGTTACTTGTCACAATATACAACTGTGTCCTGACGATGGCACTTTGTAGGAAAATCTATGGAAATATGGAGGGTATGTGAAAATTTGAAATAGTATTAAGTAAGTCGTCTATATGAAGTAATTCAAATGGTTACGAGATATACTACTATTAATTATATAATAACAAATTAAATATAACAAACTTTATTTGTATTACTTAGGGTCTCTCTTTATATAATTCAGAATATTTTTTCTATATTTTATATCTATTTAAATATTTTGCAACAAAAAATAGTAGTATTTTGACCAACCTAATAAGTAAAAATACGATATAAAGCAAGATGCAAATTCTATTATATATTTTATATACTTCTAATTTCTATAGTTGTATTGCTGTATTTTATTTCTATTGTAATAATCAAAGGATAAAGATAAATATGATGTATATATATAAAAGATAATTGTGGGAGGAAATTCTCTTTTACTCTCTCATCTCTTCTTGAAAAGTTAATTATAATAATAGCAATAATAATATATTGTAATTAAATCTTATTGTATATTATCTGCTTTTGTCTTAATGTTTAATATTTCCAATTTTTATTAAAAAATATATTTTTTTTTAAATGTTTTCTATATTGTTATTTAATATTAAGTATACTTATATTTGTCGAAAAATAATTTTTAATGTTACAAAAAACCTGTTTTTTAAATATCATAATGTTACGATCTTGCAAGTTGCAAAATATATTGTAGAGATATTATATAGGAACATGTAATAACTATAATATTTTCTGATAAATATTACAGCAATATTTCAGAAACATTACAAAAAACAATATTCAATAGTCATTATCTAACTCGTATTTACGTTTTAATTTTGAGAACTGTATAAAGTATGCAAAAAAGAGAGCGACTAGTAAGATTAAACGTGTAATAACTATTATATTTCTATCAGTTTAATTTCTAATATAATCCTAATACAAGGAAATTTAGATATTGAACTGATTGTTCAGAAATGGAACAGATAAATGTCCGAATAAATAAAAATCATTCGTCTATTGTTTATTTAAGATCTAAAATAGAGTATAATTTTCATATAAATAAAAATTTGATTTTTATGAATTGAATTATTTAATAATGACAGCAATAGACTCCGGGTAAGAACAATTAAATGGAAAAACTGGCGGATAAAAGCTCAGGCGCGGGTATCGGTGCACGAACTTATTATTATTAAATTCAATTAACTAATGTGCATTTACAAATGTACGTTCGGACCGTTTCTTGGTCCATCTTCAGCATGGGTACAAATATATACAGATTAAATTGAAATTTTAAAACTTGACATTATATTATAAGCTATCGACGATATGCGTATACGCATATACATATGGCGATGGCAATTGGATGCTGTCCACTTAATTATACAGATTTTACATTTCACGCTGGTTTTAGTAAGCCTCCTTTACGATTATTAATTTTAATTTGAGATTTGACTGCAACTGCAAATATTGTGTATGTCAAGTTTTAAAATTCCAATTTGATCTTTATATATTTGTACCCATGCTGAAGATGGACCAAAAAACGGTCTGAAACGTACATTTTTAAATGCACATTAGTTAATTGAATTTAACAATAACAAAGTTTGCACGCTGATACCCGCGCCTAGGCTTTTATCCACCAGTTTTTCCATTTAATTGAATTATTTAAATTTATATTATGTTATTATTGATTTAATTACATTGAGCCAAGTTTTTCTCATATATATGTGTATATATATGTATATATATATATATATATTTCTAATTTCTAATAATAAGACATTTGCGCACGTACACATTTGCATATGTCTTATTATTAGAAATTAAAAATATAGATATAGCATAATTATGAAACAATTGTAATTATTTTAGTCAAAACAGTTTTATTTGGCTTGCTGCTGCCGCTCTCGATGCTAAATGGAATTGAATCTGCCTGCAATTACTTTCAAAAGTTAGAAGCTGGACGAACATATAATGTGGCTAATCCTGGTTTTCCCAATAAGTATAAAGGTGAAAATCATTGCACATGGCAAATGGAAAGTCGTTTTAATGTCAAAATAAATTGCAGTGTTGATATGCCAGCGTCTGTCGTAAGTTTATAGATAAACATTTTGTTCAAGATTTATGCATAAACTTAGCGTTAACTAGGTATTTTCAAGCTTAACACAATTTAATAAGAAAAGATTAAAGAAAACATATATTTATTTTATAGTTTTTTGCAATGTAATATGATTTTGATCTCAAAAATATTTTTATTGATATCACAAATTAACAAAATTTGTAAAGTATACATATAAAATGGTTATTTTACTATATTGTAGTATATATATATATAGCTACGGTATAGGTATATATGATGTTACAAAAATTTTATTTTTTGTTTTAATTTAAAAATATTTTTAAAACTTTTAGCACACTGAAAAGAGATTTGTTATAAAGATTAATATTTTAATAAAATTTTTATTATAAAAAATATTTTATCTATATTTTACTATATTATTTTATGTATTATTATTTTATTTTATAAGAATGATTGTACTGAAGATATTCTTTCTGTGCAAATTGATGGAAAAAGTATGCAAAAATACTGTGGTGTCGGTCCACTCATTCTTGAAGGAAAAAATCCGATTATAAAATTAGATTCATCCTCTTCCTCGAAAGGAGGTAAATTTTCATGCGAGATTCGAGAAGAGGAGCAATCTGATGAAAACAATTGTAAATGTGGTTGGAAGAAAGTAGTAAGTTTAAATACACTTCATAAGATGCGATATATATATTAATTGATTATTAATTATTTATTTATAATTTAACTTTATATAGTTTATAATTAATTACATAAAACTATTTATTAAAAATATTTTAATTTGGTTAGTATTCAAGAGTTATTCATATTGCTTATTTAGAAATAAATATAAAAATAGGCTTGAGGGAAACCTAAATGCTGTAGAAAATGCACTAAAATTTGTAACAAAAATTAGAAAATACATTAAAATTTGTAACAAAAATTACATATTGCGAATCAAACTTTTGATGGAAATTACATATAGCAAGTTAAGTTCGTCATCCAAATTTATAAACATTTTCATCTTCGATTCTTTAATATTTCTTATTTTTCAGACTCTCTTCTGTCGCAAAGCGCAAAGATTATCGATTATGTTTGTTCATATGTATATATGTGTAATAAATAATAGCGTAAATTGGGAAGCTAGTTCCCGTTAGACAATTGCATAGGCTCGTTATGACAATGGTCAAATAGATCGTTACTCACCAAAAAATTTTTTCCAGAACTTATTATGCATTATTTACATGAAACGACATTATAAATCATATCAAAAAAATATAAAATTGCCAGAAAATTCAATAATGATAGCCACGATTGGAATTAATGATTTTAAATTTTAAATTATTCCCTAACTAACCAGTGGAAAAGTTTATGGAGAAGTACATATATACGCAATTAATTAAGATAATACATATACATATATAAAACTTTATGTTTGAACTGACATACAAACAATAAAGTCAAATCAATCATATAAACATAAACAATGAAAGCAGTGAATAAAAAGCAAAACCTATAAGTCATACTAAATCAGTACTAAATGCAATCATTTTAACTTGCTATTAATTTGCGTTGAAAGTTTGACACGTAATATATAATTTTCGTTACAAGTTTTAATATGTGCCTTTTCTACCGCATTAATGCTCCTCAAGTTTACTTTTATATTTTTGATTTTATCGATGGAATCTTTTGATTAATTTGCTTGTTAGACTAGAATAGTAGGCGGTAATGAAACTGGGGTGAATGAATATCCTATGATGTGTGGACTCGTCGATACTACTAATAGATTGATATATTGCGGCTGTACCATAATATCTCACCATTGCGTAGTGACAGCAGCTCATTGTATAGAGGATAGAGATATCGCAAAAATTGGCGTTGTTGTTGGTGAACACGATGTAACTACAGGTAATCATTGAAATAAATATCTAATTAATATTTAAAGTACAGAACATAGGTAAATGTTTATGGCTGCAATAATATCAATATAAATTGTTTAAGTCTTTTTTTTTGTATCTGTGAGTATAATACAAGTTTATTTGAGAGAACTATAATAAAATTAAATATTCGCGGACTGGAGAAAGATAATTAAACACACACATATATAACTATTTTAATATAAATATCATTGATCTATTCTTATACTTTACTGTCTCTATACTAACGATAAGAGCAAGTTTGTCTCTCTCATTCCCTTTATATTTAATATTTTCATTACTTTAATTAACTTTTCGTAAAACATTTATAGACATTAATAGGTATTTCTGTATGTAACACTTTTTTTTTATATCTATTCATAAAACATAATGGTATAATATGGTCGGATAATTTTGGAATATGTAATCTATATATTCATTTTTTATAAAAAAATTTTTTATGCGCGTGCAATGTATTATTTCTTATATTTCATTAAAATATATTGCTTTGTCATAAAGATAATATTTTAGTAAGCTTTAATATTTAATAGCAATATTTAATAGCAGTGTGGAATATTGTTTATACATATACAGGACAAATAAAAATGAAGAGACTAGTACTCATACTTTTAAAATAAGATTTTTGGAGAAACGCAAATTCTTTGTATGTATTGTAGGGAAGGAGACTAACGCAACCAAATTGTTTCGCATAAACAATTGCGAGATACATCCTGAATACGAAAATATTCAAAACGATATAGCTGTGTGTAAGATTGACGGTAACATAGCATATAGTAATGAAGTCGGCCCGGTCTGTTTACCATTTCAACATAAACACAACTCGTTCGTTGGTGACAATGTAACAGCATTGGGTTAGTACTTTTTATTTTATTATTATTACCTCATTATATACATTAAAAACCGTTATTGATTCCGTTCTAATTCCATTTAACTATCAGGTTGGGGTTTATTGGAATTTGGCGGTGCCAAAGCGACTACGCTACAAAAAGTAAATTTAGATGTGATAAGTCGTAAGCAATGCACAGAATATTATTCCGATGTAACTAACGGAAACATGTGTACTTACACTCCGGGAAAGGACACTTGTCAAGTAAAGAAGCACAATTTTTTATTGTTTGATAGTTATTAATGCAAATTTAATGTTATTTAAGAACGGTGATATACAAAGCATCTCAAAATTATATTTTTTTCTGTTTACTTTGCCACAGATGGATAGCGGCGGGCCTGTCTTATGGAGTGATCCTACTACACATAATCTTGTATTAGCTGGTATAACATCTTCCGGTACTGGATGTGGTTCAGATGAACCTGCTATCGATACACGTGTAGGAGCTTACACTGATTGGATACAATCTGTGTGTGGTAAGAGTTGGCAAATAGGCAAATTAGAAATATGAAAATCTCATCACAATAAAAGATAAGATTAATATCACGTTTTTATTTTAGATGAAAAATATTGTAAAATAGAGTAATTTCTCTACATAATTGTTTCATAAGGCTATGGATCTTTGTCACAAGTAAAACGATGCTTTGTAACTTCGTATTATTCCAAAAAGATATGTATAAAATATGTATCTATACTATCTATACTAAATATATATCTATACTATCTATACTAAATATGTATCTATACTAATATCTCAACAATGTTTATATATATTCTCAACAATTATTATATTTTAATTATACATAAACAATATTCAATTATATTTGCTTGCATTTAGAAAATATGACTTTTAATTTAATGATTTATCACTTCTTTGACTATTCATAGTTGAATGCTTTTTGTCCTTCCAACTTATTCTTCATAACCGGAATTTTTTTGCTCGGGAGAAGAAACAATAAAGAGAACACTTTATGAGAGCTAAAGCACAATATCGAAGAACATGCTTTATTCACACGTATCCAAAAAACATAATATTCAAGAATAAGAATTTGAAAGAAAGTGTTCATTGAAATTAAAGTGATACACGCGCGCACGCACGCACATGAATAGACAGATTCATGTGTGTGTGTGTGTGTATGAGTCGTATATACATAAAGTTAAATTGCTAAGCAAGCCGTGTGTGCTATCTTAGAGAGCAGGGCTTGTAATTAAGTACTAAACCTAGATTATATTTGTTCCGGAAATTAATCCAATCAGCACGAAGATATATAAGTTTAAAAGTTTTGAAATGCATCGATTAATTGCTTCCGCGAAGTTCGATCTTAATTCAGAATTTCAGAATCATTTCCGATTTCAAGCTTACCTACTCTTCAAAAATCTACAATGTTAGCCGATCTAAAGTGAATATATGTGTATGACATTTTATTGTTTGGTTTCGATATGTAGATTTAGTGTTGATAAGTTAAATTCCGCAATTCAATTTTCGATAATTGACATACTGATTTATGTGTTACATTTTACAGATTTTTTGTATTTTGTAATTGTATGGTTATACATATATTTATTTATAATTACATATACAATGACATACATGTATGATTATATGTATATATATAACTTTATTTATTCACAAATTTCAAAAAATTTTTATTTATTTATATTAGAATTTATTTTGTGTGTATAATTATTTACACATATTAATTCTAGTTCTTCGTTTTTTCAAAATAAATTTAATAAAAATTACACACACTTATTATTTGAACTGTCAAATGCATCTCGCAGTTATGACAGATTTTTATTGATATAAGTAATGCACAGCGCAGCGTCGAGATAACCAATCAGCATTGCTGAAAAGAGGAAACAATATTTGCGAGTATCGATTTAATCTTTTTAAAAGTGGATATCTCAATGACTTGCAATATTGATTGGAGCGTAAGAATATTAAGCGTAAGAATTTCTTTTATATCTCGTGGGATGCTACCCAGAACTCTAAATAAAAAATCGGAATTGCGAAAAAATTTATCTTTAAAATATTTAAAATTAATTTAAAATATATTTATGTTTTGTTATCATTCGCGCAACAACATTTGAGCAGGAAAGTAGTCGTGCGAGACGCTTCATCTAACTCCTCTAAACGCGATCGCGATCAGTATCAGGAAATTATTTGATATTATTTATAGTACGTAAAATATTTCGACAGCGAGTTAGGATAATATCTAACTAGTATTTGGTCTTGGCAGCGAGTGGGGCGAGCCGCTCCGTCAAATTCGTTTCCTAAACGCGATCGCAACAAGTATCAGAAAATAATTTAATAAGATTAATATCTATTTATCTTTTACATACATTACCACGATAAGAAATAATTATTCTTTCAAAAATAAAATTTAAAATTAAATATATTTTCGACGCTTTATCGTTTGACTTTTAACAGCATCTAAATATGATTCGGATTAAGATCGAGCAATTAAGCAATTGATTCGCAAAATCGAGTAATTAACACAAGACTTCGCGATACATCAATCGTTTAATAAATATAATTAATCATAATTCAAAATATATTTTATACACTTTAATATTCCGCGTATATATATAATATAATATCATCAACTTTGCTGCTGCGCATTGGTCGGTGAATGACAAATTTTTATTTTATTTTAAGGAGACTTATAGATTGTAGATGCGAATGTAGATTGTAGATAGATCCGTTGCCTCAAAATGGATGGGCCAGATTAAATAAAATAACTTTTACTAAATTTTTTCAATTTGCATTAAAATATTGTATCTATATTAAAGATACAATTTAAGATATAGACTAAAATAAAAATTTGAAAAGAATATAAAATATTTTTTTCAATTAATAAATTTTATTTAATTTGTTTAATAAAATTTTACTAATTGTGTAAAATAGTAATAACTTATTTTCATGTTGCGCCGATTTTATCTTAAGGAACGTAGCCTCAAGACCAACAACTCCGCTGTTGCGCATCAGTGCCGGTGAGTGAAACTTTATTTTATTTCGAGGTAACGGATTAGCAGACTTATAGATTGTAGATGCGAATGTAGATTGTAGATAGATCCGTTGCCTCAAAATGGATGGGCCAGATTAAATAAAATAACTTTCACTAAATTTTTTCAATTTGCATTAAAATATTGTATCTATATTAAAGATACAATTTAAGATGTTTTAATTTATAATTGTTATAGGTGAAATTATATTGTATTTATTTATTATTATTATATGTAAAATTATATTGTATTTTACAAATTCTGTATGTTATATATTCTATAATTCTATATATTGTTATTCTAAATTCTACATTATACATAATATATTGTATATTATATTGCATATTTATTGTATAAAACAAAATAATTTGTATTTCAATCGAAATTTGTATAAAATCACGTATTTGAAAATAAATCGGGCATTAGGTTCTATATATACAAATGTCCTATTACAGATGCGATTATAAAAAGCATTTTAAATGTCCGTCAAAACATTTTTATATATAGTAATTATATCGTTCCTCTGATTGTCTCAAAAAATTCATGTACATACATTGGAATTGAATATTATGGCTATTGTTGATTTATTTGTTCGTCGCGTTTTTTTTTTCAAATTTTAAATCGCGTTTTATCTTGTGATTTAATCGTTAATTTACATCAAAGCTTCGTCTACCTTTCCTCGAATATTTTTTTGGAAATCTACACAAAATGCGCCAGTAGACCTTTTTTCTATAATTAAAAAACAATCGGTAATTTTATTAACGATTCTTCTAGTCATAATAGTTTGTATCATATAAAACTTAATAAGCTTTGTAACTGCATATCGATCATTAATCAAACATATAATTAATCATTACTTATCAGCTATATCTAATCTAAAAATAGTGAATTCTGCACCATATGAATATTTTGGACATTTTCGTGTAATTTCATGTAATAAATTCCTTTGTGTTATATTTCAAATTATATTTTATATTATTAGTTAATCTAGCAACAAAAACGGGAGATGTACTTTATATTAGTTATATTATTAATGTATCATATATTTATATTAATCAGATTCTTTTAAAACTTATTTGGTCAAACATATATTCATGATAAATTTAATCTCAAAGCAATGAAATTTGCTTTATTCGAAAACGCTATTAGTTACCGGTAGGGTCACCCATGCCGGACAGGTTGAACGGGAGGAGTCAGACTAAGAGAGATACCGTAATTATTATATAATAAACTAATGAGTACAGACTCTTATAGTCAATAACATAAATTTAATTAAAATAGCAAATAGAGTCAGCGCGGGAGTTAGTGTGCATACATTATTTAGATTTATTCAACGGTAGCAACGAGTATCGATTTGTAATATTACGAACGTTTCGATTCTTTTTATTAACCACCTTCTTCAGCGTGGTTAATAAAATTATTGAAAAAATTATAAATGATAATAAATAGACGCAAACATGATATATAACGCAATTATATGTTTGCTATATAATGCAATTTATATGTTTCCTCCGATTATAACTATCGCGCTTTTATCCGTTGCATTATATATCATGTTTGCGTCTATTTATTATAATTTATAATTTTTTCAATAATTTTATTAACCATGCTGAAGAAGGTCCTAAAAAGGATCGAAACGTTCGTAATATCACAAATCGATACTCGTTGCTATCGTTTATATTTATTATATTAATATTTTTGAATAAAATGGAAGCAAAAAGGACAGTAATCGAGAGAATAAAGAAAAAGAGGCACCAAAATATTATAATTTTCCTATAGTTTTGTCCGTAATCTTTTATTTTTTAAAGAGTTTTAATCATTAGCAGCATTAATTAATTCTTTCATGTTCATATGATCGCCTGATAATAGGTATACTGTCAGATTTTCGCAAAATGTCATACAAAAAAATCGAGAGATCTCTTGCAATATTGCTTAAACAAAATTAAAAGTTTCTTTTATATCTTGTGGGATGCTACCTTGACAAAATGTCATACAAAGAAATCGAGAGATCTCTTGCAATATTGCTTAAACAAAATTAAAAGTTTCTTTTATATCTTGTGGGATGCTATTCACAAAAAATCTACTGTTTCCAAAATCAATACTAGGATATATCTTTATACAATATACGAAAGATTGTGATTTCCGAAACGCGATATTCTATTCTATTATAATTATTATATTTTCCTATAGTCTTAAATTTGTTCTTTCGAATTCGAAGAAGTTTTAATCATTAACAGCGTTAATCAATTTTTTTACATACACACACATATTTATAAAATTATTTAGATATTAAATCTAGTTGCGCGTTTTTTCAAAATCAAATAAATTAAAATTATACACACATACTTAATATTTGAACTGTTGAATGCGCGGGTTAGCCGTGACAGTCTTTTATTGATATGAAGTAATGCACAGCGCAGTGTCGAGATAACCAATTAGCATCGCAAAAGAAGCAACAATACTTGCGAGTATCGATTTAACATGCCTTTGTTAAGAGTGGATAACGCTATCTTTAAAAAATTTAGGAAACAAATGAATCAAATATTATTTATTGTGATAGTATAATATATATACAATATGAATTTTAGTATCGTATTATTTCCAAAAAATCTATATGCAATATAATCAATTCGATACTTGAATCACGGCAACCAAACAAAAGCTTCACTAATCAATCAGAAAAATTGATTTTTTTTATTAAAAGTTATATTGATCAAAGCAGACAAAGCGGCAGTGCCTAATTAAGAATTTTCTCTATTCGCAGTTATCAGAAATTATGAGAATTTTGATCAATTTTCTTTATAATCTGATTACAATTGTAATTTGAATAAATTTAACCAGTAAAAGTTCTATTATAATAATGTAATAATATTTCAGAATTCTGATTCGTCCATTTTCGAACAGAATTTCTGACTGAATTTATCGGTTTTCCAACTCATGCAATCAGATTCTTTTTCAGTATAATTTACATTTAATCCACATTTAACTTTTAATCTTTATCATCAGATAACCATATAAAGCGTGCTTTTCAAGATATATGGTCAACTGATTACATTTGCATTTCTGCGAAATGTATCGACAAATTCAGTAATGTATGGACAAGATAGCACATAAATCAATAGTTCTTAAATTATTCTTCAATTCTGCCAGTAGCTTTTGCAAACGTGTTATTTTTGTCAAGAGGCTGGACGAAAGAGAAAACTGTCGCGTAAGTACATCTGTTAGCGATATTTCAGCTCGAAACAAAATACGACAGCGAATTTCCGCTTTCTGGCAAAGAGCCAGCTGACGTGGATGCTGCATCCAATATCGCGATTGCAGAATGAGGTAATATGTTTTCTTGCTGGATCGTATTTTTGTTTGATGACTGATGGCTAAATCGACAAATTTATTGAGTACGTCTTCGCGAGTTGCCTCGTATCTTATGGTTACAACGTTGACTGATCTGTCGAATTAAGACTTTTATGAACGATTATTTCGTCGAAACAGCGTTAGTTAGCAGTTTGGAATTGGCTCACACAATACTATACGTTTATTTATCTGATTTATAAAATCATATTTTTTGAATTACTTTCTGACAGTTTAAGCATGCTGTTTACATTAAATTGCAAAATAAAACCATCAGTTTTCAGAAACAAATAAAAAATAATTTAAAGACTATTAAATCTAAGATTATTAAATAGCCATTGTACTTGTTGTACTTGTTGCGTATTATAAAATATTTATTTTCTGGCAAACTTTTCTTCAGAATTGGCAGATAATTCACATCTCTGTGTTTCTGTATTTTATCCAATATTTCAGGTCCGCTCTTCACTATCTGTTTCTTCTTGTCTATTGTCGATGCCAAAGCTCTTTTGTATTTTAGCCAAACTGTGACCGCGAGTATCCTTTACAAGAAGGGCGCAAAGGATTCCTGCTAGCCAGCAAAAGCCAGCAAAGAGCCACATGGTCTTTGTAACACCAAGAACATCCAACATTTCTCCAAAGGTCATCGTTGCTATTAAACATAGCAGCCAGTTGAAAGTGGCTGCACATGCAACGGCGGTCTCCCTTATTTGCATCGGAAAGATATCGCCGAGCAACGCCCACGATATCGGGCCGATACCGATATTAAAAGCGGCGAAAAAAAGGGCTGTCCAAGTCGGCGGCATCCAGAAGTAGATATCGTCGTACTCTGGATCCTGCTCCCTCAATGCATAAAACCATCCTGCAAATAAATAATCAGAAAAGAAATTTTAATCAATGTTAGTTTCGTCACATTTATTGCTAATATTATTAGTGTTCTTCTATTTTCACAAAAGTAAAAATTCTTAAGACGTAATAATTACTTGTTTTTATTTACTATTTAATTATTATAATGCCTTTACATGAAATGACAATGTAATTTTATCCAATAAAAATTGCGATAAAAAATATACTGAAGAAAGAAGTTAAACTGAACTTTTCCTGCAAGATAAAGAAATCGCAAATTGCAAATACTAACTGCAAAGGAACTTTCAGCTACTTCATTTCTCTCTCTTTTTCTCTTTCTCTCTCAACAAATTTGAAAATTTGAAAATTCTTTTTTACTTTTGCTATCACTCTTAATAAAAATTTGTATTTTATTCGAGAGAGTTTAGAGAATTTTATAAAAATATCGTAATAAGATCAAAGAAAAGTGTTTTGTACTAATGCTGTAAGGAATTTACAAATTACATGATTAATAACGAATAAGCAATATATTGGTTGAAATTTTATTTTCAGCACGTATTTATTCAGAATATTATGTCGTCCGCAATAAAGTGCTTTAAATCTTAAGCAAATTAGCAGTTATTATCTGCATTAATAAGTACCATTATATCATGATCGGGTATTGTTTACCTAACAGTATCAAGAACAGTCCCATAAGCGTCGAGGATACAATTAGTAATATTCGACGTCCGACTATGTTTATGAGGCCCGTAGCTAGGAAGCAAGATAGTATTTGTATGCCACCAATAACGATGGTCTGTTCGCTTGCAGTTAAATTGCCCGATCCGCCGACGTTGAAAAGCGTCAATGCGTAAAAGATCATAGTATTAACGCCGCTCAATTGCTGGGCCAAGAATGCGAAGAAGCATGTGAAAAAACAACTTATAATATATCGGTTTTTTAAGACACTCATTGGGCTCTGTAAAAAGAATTTTGCATTTTAGGGTTTTAATAATAAGTTACAGAAAGCAAAAAAATAAGTTTTTAGAAATCTTGAAATAATTTTCACATAGTATCTTATTTTATAATGATTTGCAATAACGTTTTGTTTCTAAAAATCTTTATATACTGATTTACAATAAATACCAAATACTAAACTTAGATTGAGATGATCATATTTTTTAAAATTGTAAAAAAATATTATTTTAACAAAGTTTGTCATATTATAGGTATGGTAGATATGTAACACGCGCGTTAGAATATGAATATATATAATATGTAGTATTAATAACCTATATTTGCAAAGTCATTATAAAAAAAGAAAAGCATTACTTCTTATATTGTATTAGTAATAAAACTGAGTTATACAATTTTTTGTTAATGATAAATTTAAACTAAAGTTGTCAAGAAGGATTATCTAAACAAAATTAGAAAATAAATAATAATAATTATATAATAGTAATTATAATATATACTAAAAATAATAATAATAATTATTATTATAATATATATTTAAAAAATCGTTCTAAAAAAAGGGTTATTTATTATATTGTGCCAATAATAAAATTGCCAATATTAATTTTATATTTATTAAAATATAGAAGTTTATTAAATTGAATCAACAGTTTTTTTTATGTGCAATTAATTTAGACAGTTTACATAAATGTTTCCGAAATAATTATCTTTGTTTTATCTTTATGTGTGCATATGTATGTATACATATACGCGTATGTATAAAAAATTTACTTACTATGCTCACAATTTTATGCGTCTATTTTTTTTTATTTAATAAATATATCTTTTCAAAACATTATAAAATATATATAATTGTTTCATGACAATCTTATTGTAATATAGTAATATAGTTTTATATCTGTATTAATAATATTAGAAGTATAATTTTCTCGATTAATATTTACAATAAAAAATTAAGCATTTTACCTTTTTTGAGTGGCATGCAACAGCGAGATATTTTAATTCTTCCATTTCGATATCATCTTCACAAGCTTGGCCACGGTACCATTTTAGACAATCTCTGGCCTTAATTTCGTTGTTCTTCGTGAGATAATAAAGAGGACTCTCAGGCACTAGATTTATTAATGCAATCGCGAGGCACGTCACAGCGCAGATTAAGCTATATCTGATTATTAACCATTTCATAAGTTTCTCTGAAGTTTAATTCTGATTTGAGTTTTATTCTTTATATAATTGATTAAGGTTGATGAAGAATATGCGATGATCTATATTAACAATGTATATGTAAAAAGTATATTAAATTATACTGTAGATTCAAATATTCACAAGACATAAGTCATCGAGATATAATTCATCGCATAATTTCTAGAAATTATTCGCCAAAAATAATCTTTGATTTTCTGGACTTTAGAAACTATTGCATGTCATCAACTGTGCTTCTCTTAGTCAGTAATTGTCATATTATAATTAAGTTCGTAAATTTTGTGTATATCATCAATGTTGTGTAAATACCTCCATATAGTATCGCGCTCATCTAAGATATGGGCGACCACAAAAGCATACATAATTCCGCAGTTGATCAAGAGATGGAAATACATAAGAAGTTGTTCTCGCAAATCTTTATCTGCTATTTCCGCGATATAAATCGGAGTCAGAATGCAGAACGCTCCACCGCTCATACCACATATGAACCGACCAATTATAAGAAGTAAAATCTATGAAAATATTTGATATATTAATAACAGGTATTTGAAAAATTACATATTACATATATGTAATTTTTAGGATTATAGCGCATATCATTGTTTTCACAAATCTCTTATTTAAAATTTAATAAAATATTTTATTTATACATTAACATTGTGTTCCAATATTTGAACTTTGATCATTTTCTGACGTTAAAGTGAGATTCAGTAACGAGGCAAAGTAAAACTCGTGCTTTATGCTTTGAGACTCCTTCAGCGACAAAGAGTAAATTTTCTTTCACTTTAATCTCATGCAATCTATTATATTAATGACATTTTGGCAAAACTTAAGATTTAATAGTGTGACACGTGAAAGCATACTTTCTGGCCGGCGAAGCAGATAAACGCCCACCCGACGATAAATCCTGGTATAGTCAAGAATATGATTGTGGTACGGCTGAGGTATTTTATAAAGAAAGGCACGAATATTACACCGATGCAGGCACCGGCGTTCAAGATACTACCGATAAGGCCAATCTCGATATTATTAGCGTTCAAGATATTTCGAAGGACCTCTCCTGTACTAGAATTCCAACCGAGTGTGACACCGAGAGCGAAACCGCCGAGAGAGGCTAAATTTTCAAACAAAAGGATTACTAATTTGCTGTGTACACTTTAATAAATTAAATAAACTAGAACATTGTCAAGATATATTACTGGCATATTGAAAATTTCAAGTTCTACTTCAGATAAATGTATTTGATTTTTATTATTATTTCTTATAAATGTTATTACAAAGTTAAGATTATTTAAATTATATCCTTTCTAGATTATTTATATGTAAAAATTTTATTGTATGTGTGTGTGTATGTACGCATTTGCATCGTGTATGCGTGTGTGTAATATATGTATATAAGGTGAACCAGATCTGGCTCACCATTTGTTAATAGTAGATGGATTTTATAATTGGATGGATTTTATAATTACTTGAAAAAGGTCCCTATATTAAAATGTCGAAATTACAATAATTTTTAACTAAAAAAACGTTTAAAATTGGACGATAAAATTGTCTAAAGTCTGCGTTTTCAGATACGATATATCGTACAATAGAGAGAGTACTTTTAGATATCGATCCACTATTAAATATGGAGATATAATTTTATAATGACATTAAAAACATTTCCATACATATACGCGCACACACATATATTCACACACAATAAAAATGTCATCTAGAAAAATCTTTAACAGAACATGATAATTAATTAGCAAAACTATTCGAAACGCGACAACACAGATTAACAACAGTTGTCAATCTTCAAAGATATCTGTTCTTGTTGATTAACAACTCTCTTGACAATGCGCTCGGAGACGATCTCCCGGAGACAGGTACAGCGGATATCAAACATTATATATGTACTTTTTATTTTTAATTTATATTAAGTAATAGATTCTATGTATCGAAATGAATTTGATGATACATTACAGGATTGTTAGAGATTATTCAAATTAAAAGAAAATGTAAATATGTTAATAATTTTAAAAAATGTTAATATGTTATTAACTCCTTAATTTTTAAAGATGATTATTTTTTAAAACAAAAATTTATACTAAAAGAATTTATTTATTGACTTAATTTGGCATGAAAAATCATCTTTATATCAAATATAATCTGATTTCAATGCATTCTGTTAATTTGTGTAATTATTTTTGGTTAGTTATAAATTATATGGATGCATTTCATGACTATTGTTTGCAATATATTCCGAATTGCTGCAGCTATCTCACATTTATTGTTTTTTGCTGTCACCCAACCATTGTGGTCACCCAATTCCATTATGCTGTTCTTGCTAATTGGCAACGAAATCATTAATCTGACTTAAACATATGATAATGCTTTATTTATCGAGGCTGAAAAACTTCTCTGTCAGTTACCTTAATGTTCCAAAAATAAACGGCAGAACATTGTGCAATGAATAAATTAAAATTTAGCCATTGGAATATTGCATAATTATTTTTAGTCAATAGAATAATGTATAATTAGTTTGAAATAACAACATAAAATTTTGAGATTTCATCTTTGTAGATTCATAAAAAAACTATTGCAACAAAAAGTCTCAAACGAATTTCAAATTTAGTATTTTTTGGGTATAATATATTGTTTTGGTTCTCGAATATAAAAAATGATTATTTTTATTATTGTTTCACTCAATATTGGTTTAATTATTGTTAATATTTTGCAACTTGAAATGATCGTTAAAAGTAATATTGTCCACATTTACCTATAAAAGCAGCAATTCGCTGATTCCAAAGGTGGATTCTATTACCGTCAGTGACTTCGGAAACTAATGTCGATGTCATTTTCGTAATTGGCGTGATGAGCGATGCTATCTAAGCGCTGTCGTAGTTCTCCAACTGTCAACTGTCAACTCCTGATATAAGTCGATTCGAGAGAATTCAGTTGCATGACTGACCACACAGGCGAGTTCAATATGAACATATCGATTTCGCGTTTAATGCGAGCGGATGTTTTGTCAAACTGTATTGTTTGTCAAACGCCCTGATTCGTGATTTACTGCAAATATCGCTGAAGAAATAAACTTTTTTTATGTGATATAATTTCCTTACTATAATCCTTTCTTATTTTTTAAAAATGTTAATACATATCAAATTTGTTAGATGCAGTATCATGTAATTAAACATGTATAGAATCAATAAATTGTTATTTAAAATAGCTAGTTCTTGTATAATGTGAATAATTATACTATAATATATAAAGTAGAATATTTAGGATAGTAATTTGAAGAGGATAATAGTTTAAAGAGTCAATAAATAATGCAATTTATGTAACATGTCAATTTGTAAAATCTTGAATTTGCCTATCTTTGATTTGCTTTGATTTGTTTTATAAATGCGATAAATCTGATTGACATCAATATACAGTACATAGCTTGCTACACATGCAAATCGTCTCAATGTTTGCGAATCTTTAATTATTCCCTACCTTTAATTTGCTCTATATCAGAAGTTATCAATCTTTACTGAGACGTAATTTGGGTTGCCATGCAATCAATTCAAAGACCATTGTATGACGTTACAAGACAATTAATCATATGATATGACATCGATTGATCTTTCGAATAATAATATTGTTCAAGACAAAAGTCAGTTTCTATAATCATGTTGATATCGTAAAACTGATATCTTAGAATTTATATCTTGAGATTTGTAAACATCTTATATATATCTTGCAAAAGAAACTAATTGTTTTAGTAAAAATATTTATTGCTTGCAATAAGTTTTTTTATTTTAAAAAATAAAATATCAAATAAGATAAATAAATATAACATAAATATAATAAGTATAGAATAAAAGTATATAAATATAATAAGTATAAAATAAAATCATTTTATAAAAGATTAAGTTTTTATAAGAGATATGTTTAATCGATCTTATATTATAACCATATTATAAGAACAGCAGTAATAATAGTAATGTATAAGCGTAGATTTGCAGTCTCTGAGTCTAAAAAATAATTCAGTTTAATAGCTTTCAATATTCATTTGAAATAGCTTGCAGCATCCAATAATATATTGATAAAATAGCATTGTTGCTTATGAACTCCCTGAATATAGCGATTGACGGAATACCGAAACATTAATCGCATACGCGTACATTAATCATTGAAATATTTAGATCGCTATTCTGTACACGGCTATCAATAGCTGTAGGTTCTGTAAATGTCGTTGCGCATGTATTTTGACATATCAAAAAACATGCGCAATGTTATTTACAGAGCCTACATATATCGGTAACCGTGTATAAAGTAGCGTTCTTTTTAGTTACTTTTAATGCAGCTATAAAAATGACAATTAATCTGCATACGTTAATGCAACTGTATTTAGAACGAGATATGAACGCAAATACATTGAGTGATGTAGCTTTAGTAGTAAAATAAAATAGAAAATTTTCAAAGAATATAATAATGCTTTCAATCACATACACAACACATACACACACACGCATTCGACATCATATCTCATTGAAACTGTAAGAATTTGAGAAGTTCTAAATAATGTATATAAATTTTTAGTCAAGCTGTAAGAAGCGGATGGCGAATTCACAGGTTATTTTACCGTAAATCGCCGGGAATCCACTATCAGGATAGGCGTGGAAAGATTTTGCAGTGTGAGGGTTATCAACTGGATACAGATTTAGTAGTAATATATATAATACTTTAATTAGATGCGTATTACACAAACGCGATATCAGCCTTAATCGGATTCAAAAATACTCTCTCTACGGCAGTCGAACAACGAGAAATAGAAGAAACACATTATTGACAAAATATCCATGACGGTGTACCTATCCCGTAAATGTAAACAAATACTTTTTCGTCTGCTCTACAAGAAATATAATGTATGCAAATTTTACTTTTCCTAATATTACTTTATAATACCTGAGAAATAGCATTAAAACTATGGAACTTCAAAATTGCATATCTCTGGATCCAGAAAAGAGCGTCACAAAATTCAAAGCGTGTATTACTTAGGAATGTACCTTCTACAATAATGTAAAAATGAAAACGATCCGTGAGGCGTAAGTTAATCCAAACATTTATCAAATTTTCTTTCGGGATAAATAAAACTATCTTATAAAAAAAATTAGAAAATAGAAGCTAGAGTATTTTAACTTGATATAAACTTTTTTATTATTATTGACGGAAAAAAAAGAAATAAGAAATTAGCGCCATTTATTTCTTATTGTTAGGAGGTAACTTGGTTAATTTGATTAATATATTATATGGTATATGAGATAACATGGGCCAATGGAAGATAAAGCAAATTGTGTGAAAATTGAGTTTGAAATAATTATTAACAGAGAAAGAATGAGAAAGAGAGAAAGAAAAAAGAAAATAAAATTATATATATTTATGAGATTGTGAATTATTTTTAAAGATAAAAATTATATATATATACAGAGTGAGGTATCTAAAACAGGCCATCTGAATAACTCGGCTGCTTTTGCATCCGAGCGAAGATGCATCAGACCAATTTTGCTTGGTTTCAAGGGGGACATAATCTGATGTCAATAGCTTTTTTGTAGGTGGAAGTATGGAGAAGATGCCGCCGAGAGAAGAAGAAAGCAGCCGAGTTCTTCAGGTGGCCTGTTTTAGATACCTCACCCTATGTATGTATATATATATATTTTTGATATTATTATTTTTGTAGAAAAAGTAATAACACTTTAAGCAATAAAATATATATCAAAGTAATATTTTTGTACAATAATTTTTGAACAAATGCGTGTATATATATAGTTGGTGCTTTTTTTTTTCTTTTTTTTCGAAAAGGTAAATTTTTAATTTGCTACAAATATCACAGAAATAAAATTAAAATAAAAAAATTTTGCTCTTTGTTTGAAAACTTTTAAAACATTTTATAGTTAAATTAGAGAAAAAAATAACATTTTTGAAATACATCTAGCATAAAAATTTGACATTTAACATAATATCGCATAAATGTTTTGTCTTTCCAGGAACTGCAGTATTATAATATTTAGTTTCACCAACTGCAAGTATTGTAAATATCGAAATTTTCTACCTCATATGAAATCTGTACATGGCATACATTTTAACTTTATCAACGTAGCGCGTTTAATGCTGCGTACATATAAAGTCTTATCTTTCTACCATCAGATTTATGTTTTACATTAAAATATAAAGCACTGTGAAGGTTTGGACATATAGCAATGTTTGACATTTACATAAATTACGATGCAAAAGTTTTTTATTGCGCTGAGACGTATGTATTAAAAACTCTTCGTAACGAGCAAAACATTTCAAATTAATGCAATCCAAATAAAAGTGAATATTGATAAATAAAAAGCACTATCTCTCAACAAAGTCAATTATATATAACAAAAAAAAAGTACGTAACTACTAAATTTCTAAATTATATTAATATATATATAACGATGAATATATTTATAAAATTTTATATTTTTTGTTTTGTATATCTTAAATTTTATATTTTATTAAACTTTTATTAAATTTTATATTCGTAATATTTGTGTTAAAATTTTATTTATAATAAACATAATTCTCTCTTTCTTTTTTTATTGCTAATTAAAATATTGTTTAAAATACTATCTTTGTTTTTGAAATAATGAGAATGAAAAATACGTGAACATATATTGTATATTTTTATTTTTTCTCGTGTAACATTTTTACTTTGCGCTGGTTGAAATTACGTGATCGTTTAAAACATTTTTTAAACTTCTTAATAGTGCTTTTCTGTTTTATGATAAATGATAACTTTTTGTTAAACTATATAAAGTAAATTGTCTTTCATTTTGCATGTATAAAATATGATAATTTTATTGATGTGAAAAGTTCATGGTTTAATGCCGTTGTAACGCAAGCTTTTCACATGAATAAAATTAAAACTGCGAAAGTAAATCCTGCGCTTCCTTAAGAAATTTCATGTATTTGTAAAATATCATACACTGTATTTATACATAAATAATTTAAGTAGTAATATCTCAGCTCTTATAGTTGTTTAGCATCTTTACATAAAAGTAAGATGTTAAAGATTATTTTATTCTATATTTTGTGTTGTATGAGAAGCTAATTTTGATTTTCGTTTGTCGATTGCAAAAAAATCTTTCTCTAACTGTTCATTAAACGGTAAACAGATATGTTAACATTGTTTGATAAACAGTAATACTGTAAGTATTTGCGTGTGTGTGTGTGTGTTTATAAAAAAAATATCTTAAAAAATAAAACATAAAATTATTTCACAAAATTTCTCTTATAATATTATAATATTTCTTCTAATAATATACAATTCTTTTGAATTCATGTTGTGTATAAATAACAAAGATTTGTACACTAAGATTAAAATATTTATTTTAAAATATAATACATAGACAAAAATGCAATTGCAATAAAAAAAGGAATTTATATAATTTTTGTTTAGAAATATATTATAAAAGTAATTGTATTGTTGTATGTACTTTATTTGTATTCTTGCTCTTCTCAAAATTATACTGTTAATAAATTGCTTTAAGAGAGGATGGTCATTTTTTCGATAGAAATGCATAAAATCACAATATTATAACACAATTTTATTATATAAATATTATATGATTAGCATTATGTTGTTCTGTACTAAACTCTTTTTCCTCGACCGTGGCCTCATTTATATTTCATCAAGGCATAGCGGCAGACGACACTGCGACCTCATTGCAAAATGACTCACCTTTCCCAGATCGAAACGTTGTAACGTATATTTTTACAATAATGTGTGTGCCCCTTTAAAGCTGCAGAAAGCAGAGTGTTACATACTGGCAGAATTTCAATTGTGCATCAGAATAGCTTCTACCTATGAAATTATCTGAATAATATAGATAGGCACGTTGTATTCGTGTTACATGCACCAATTTATAAAAAGAGTTTCTTATAAAACAATTTTGGAAGGACATTTTAATATAACAAATGATCCAAAAACTCTGAAATTTACATTGCAATACCGACAATTAAAAAACACAATTATATAT